GTGTGCCTCTTTCCTGCTCAGGCAGCGTGGGCATGCTGTTTTTAAAATACACCTAGAGTGGGTACGCTTGAGATACCTTTAATAGTCTCATCTTCCCATCTTTTACATACACTCTCTCTAACCTTTTACACCATTGTCTTTCTTTCTCTCTGTCACTTTTTTGCTTAGTTTTGAAGAAATTGTTAGATCAGTCTCCTATTTCACCTGAATAACAGTTATCAGTCATCTTGAGATGGACAGAAAATAGTATTGTCCCCCTCCTGTGTGCCCTACCAAATACAATGCCCTTAGCATCTGCTGTGAGGTTTGACAGGGGAAAAAAAAAAAAGGACTCTCCTTTCCAAACTAATCCAAACTATAGTGAAAGCTTGTCTCAGTATAAATTCTATCATATTCGTTAACACATGGGAGACAGAGAACACAGGGCCTGGCCTCTGGAGCCAGCTGGCCTGTGTTCAAATCCTGACTCGATCATTTACTAGCTGTGAGCCCTTTGGAAGCTCACATAAGTTCCCTGGTCTCAGTCTCCTCAACGATAAACTGGGTGACGCCCCTGCCTACTGGAGTGCTACGGTGAAGACAAAAGAGTTGATGATAGACGTGAAGCCCTTGGCCCGGTTCCTGGCACAGGGCGAGTCCTGAAGAAACGCTGACCATTTCTGTGAGACAAGACAGCTCAGAGCCTCGGGACCCAGGCTCTGTGGCCAGCTGTCGGGCCTCTAAGCCTGGCTGTGCCTCTCTGGTAGATGCGCAGTCTTAGGCAAGTTGCTTACTAGGTCAAAATCTTTCCAGATCCCATAGTTTCCTTTTGGTTGGGGAAGGAAATACGTGTGTAAGAAAACATGTTCTGATAACATCCAAAGAGACAGCTGTGGGAGGTATACATTTTATAAATCGCAGCATGTCTTTATTTCGCTGTTAAACTTTCTAAATTACCTTATTTTTCTTCTCTGAAAGTTTTTGTTACTTTCCTTTATGGTTAGGGTTTTCAAATTTTTCATGATAAACCTTGGTGGGTTTATTTTTCATTCATTTACCAGGCACTCAATGGGCCCTTTCAGGGAGGAAATTCCTGTACTACAACTCTTAAAAAATCTCTTCCTGTATCTTTTTAGAGGACAGTTCAGTCCATTCACATTTATTGAGAGGATTGAGATTTGTGGTAGATTTACATTCATATTGTTGGGTGAAATCCTGTTGTTTTGTTTTGCTCCTTGAGCCATCATGAAGTCCACGTTCTAGGCTTTAACTCTTGAATGATTTTACTTTGAAGAGTGTCTATTATGCTGTTCAGTGTGTAATGCAGGACTGAGTACTTCCTGTAGGGCTGGTCTGGTCTTTTCAAAATCCATCAGTGATTGCTTGTCTGGGAAGGATTTTATTACTCCCTCATAGATGAAGCTTAATTTTGCTGGATAAAGAATTCTGGGTTGGGCATTATTATGTTTTAGAAGATTAAGGATAGGGACCCAGTCCCTTCTGGCTTGTAGGGTTTCAGATGAGAAATCAGCAGTTAGTCTGATCGGCTTTTCTTTATAGGTTATTTGTTGCTTTCGTCTTGCTGCTCAAAGAATTGCTTCTTTCGTATTTACTTTGGTCAGTCTAATAACTACGTGACGTGGTGATTGCCTTTTCACATTGAGTCTCCCAGGAGTTCTGTGTGCTTCTTATATCTGGATGTCCAGATTTCTGGCCAGGCCTGGCATATTTTCCTCCAGTATTCCATGAAATAAGTTTTCCAGCCCTTGAGTATCTTCTTCTTCTCTCTCTGGAAGACCGATGATCCTAAGGTTCTGTTTCTTTACATAATCCCACATTTCTTGAAGTCTTTGGTCTTGTCTCTTGCTTCTGAGTTCTTTTTCTTCATCTGATTTGTTCAGCGTGAAGACATTGTCTTTAAGCTCTGAGATTCTTTCCTCTGCATGATCCATTCTGTTCTTGAGGCTTTCCATTGTATTTTGAAGTTCCCTGAATTCCTCCTTCATTGACAAAATTTCTATTTGGTTTTCCCTTAGTATTTCAATTTCTTTGGAAAATTTTTCATTCATTTCCTGGATTGTTCTTGTGGTTTCTTTATGTTGGTATTCTATTTTCTCTTCTATTCCGTTCAGTTTCCTTACAATCCATAATCGGAATTCTTCCTCTGTCAGCTTAATTGTGTCCTGTACATTGGTATCTGTTGATGGAGATCGAATATTTTCTTTTGGAGGTGATTTTATCTCTGATCTTTCCCTGTTTCCTCTGTTCTTTCATTGATTCTTTCTCATCAGGCTACTTTATCAAGGACTGGATGTGCTATGACTGGTTTATGAACTTAATTTTGGGGCTCCAAAGGGAAGGTCCTTGGCAGAGCTGAAGAGATGTTCCCTGGTCTTGCGCTGTCTTGGTGGGGTTTTGGCCTGCTGGGTTATCACTGGCCTGTTGTCTGCTCCTTCTGCTTACAGGCTGGCAGAGTGGATAAAAATCCACAAGCCTAGTATCTGCTGCCTACAGGAAACGCATCTAACCCACAAAGATGCCTTCAGACTAAGGGTCAAGGGATGGAAAACAACAAGACAGGCAAATGGAAGTCAAAAGAAAGCAGGGGTAGCTATACTATTCTCAGATAACATAAGCTTTAAAATAGCAAAAGTAAAAAAAGACAAAGATGGCCACTATATATTGGTGAAAGGGAAGATCCAACAAGAAGAGTTTACAATCCTTAATATCTATGCA